CTGCTGTCCAGGGCTAGAGTTAGCTGCAGGCTCATCTCGTCGCCTGTAGAGGCTGTGGGCCATCTGATTCCTTAGAGCTTTGCCACCCAGACAGTGGGCAGCAGAGTTCCCTTGGCCAGGCTGATGCTCAGTGCTTACTGAATAGAACAACCAGGGGTGAAAGAGGGGAGGCAGCAGCTGGAACCCAGGCCTGCTCTTTCACCCTCTTCTCACTGCCCACACAGCACCCCCCAAACTCTGGCCACCAACAGACCTCATACTTCCTCCACTCCCTGACTGTGTGACCTTGAGCAGTGACATACCTTCCCTGTGCCCTCATTTGCTCTAATGGAGGCAATAACACCTGTATTTCTTAGGGATATGACATAAACCCTGGAAATCATCAGACTGGTGACCTCTACCCAGGCATGATTATTATTTCTGTCTGTGCCCCTCTCACGTGGCCAGTGCATGAGTTTGGGGATCGGAGAGACCCAGATGCTGACCATTTACTGGCTGTGTGGTTCTGGGCAGGTGGCCCCTTCCCCACCCCAGGGCCTCCACTTCCCCATCTCTGAAATGGCACTAACTCCTCTCACAGGAATGCAAGCTCCCATCGCCAGGACCCGGTCTTTTGTTTGAGGCACGCAGTAGGCACTCATATTTCTCAACTAAGGAATCAATGCTCCAGGTGGAAGGAATCCATCCCCCTTCCCAGCCTCCAACCCCCTCCAGAATCCCCCTCCCCACCCCCAGCCCATGCAGACTAAAATAGTCATTAGGCAGATTTCAAAAGATGTCAGTAGCTTATAATTATAGTCGACATCCTTCTGAGATAAAAGTGATTACCTTGGATGCAAATCACTTAGCAACCAATCAGGGCGGCGGGCGGCGCCCGCGGAGGGGACCGGCCTGCCGCGCAGCCCTCCTCCCGCGGCCCGCACCGCACAGGCGGGCAGAGCGCACAATAGCTCTTGACACGCAAATGGGTTAACACAATAAAGGCGGCTCCGGCCGCTGCTGGGGGAGCGCAGCGATTCCCGGCCCGCGGGAGGTAATAAAGCGGCCCTTTTGTGCGAGCCTCCTCGTTCTCACCCCCGCCCCGAGCCCAGAGGAATCGCCGCCTGATTGAATTACGGTTCATGAATGTGAGCTGCTTCGCCGGCTTCCTCTGGTTTGTGAGGGATGGGAAGGCAGAGGGGACAGGAGGGAGGTTGGTTGGGAGGGGGGGCCCTGGCCAGGCTCCAGCCCCACAGGAGCTCAGATGGGAGCCACGTGTGCTCACCGTGAGGGTAGGTGGGGGCAGCTGGAAGGGTGGGGGCTGCTGCCCTGCACCTGGGGTCTTGGACCTTTGGCCGCAAGTTATTGGGGAGAGCCTTTCAAGGCCTTGTTCTGAAGATGAGGCTAACAGCGGCTATGAGAATGTGCATTTATTGAGTGCTTACTGAATGCCACAGCCTGTGCTAAGCCTTAACTGAATCCTCACCAGGACCCTGGGCCGTGGGTGCTATTATCAGTGCCTTCTCACAGAAGGAGAAACTGAGGCTCAGAGAGGAAAAGCTACTCATGCAAGGCCACACAGCTGACAAGTAGTGGGCTGGGGAGTCCGACCCGGGCCCAACCCATTTCAGAGCCTGGCTCTTAACCATGAGCCACTGACCATCACTGGGGAGCCTCAAGTTTCTCATGAAGGGGTTAAACAACACCGCCCAGCCCAGGTCCAGTCCAGAGCAACTGTGAGGCTGCTCAGTAGGGACAGGGGATGGAGAAGCTTACATGGAATTAAACAAGTGAGCAGGATTACCGGGGGGGGGGGGGGGGGGGGGGG